TGATATCATGGATGTAATTTATCACTTAAATTTTATATTTTTAATGAATATGTAAGATTTATGTAAGACGTTTCAATAGCTGTCAGTGTATAATTTAAAATTATGAAGACTAAATTATAAGTTTTTTGCACTCTATGCCCATTTAATATGTAGATGTAAATAATAATATGTATTATACAATCACTTTTTAGTATTTTTAGATTCTGAACGGAGTGATGGAATCTATTGGTTTTACAATGATGTGTGTTTTTAATTTTTTATTTTTTTATTTTTGTGTCTATCATCACATTTTGGGGCAGTAAAAATACTTCGATTTTCTTAAACAGCAACTTTTCTGAAAGGAAAATGAATATAGCTAGTACTTTGGCTAGTCAAAAATCAAACTTATTGGCATTTGAAATATTCGATTTTTCCTAATAAAATAATAAGAGCTGTTTTGACTCATTTTTTGTTAATTAAATATAGTTATATAGGATATTTATACAGAAATTATATCCAAATAAAAAATTTTTGGAAGACTGATTTCTATATATAAGATTATTATAATATAATAATAATAATAATATATATATAATATTTTTTCTATATATATATATATATCTAACAAATCATCTCAGTTCAAAATCATTATTCGTATACAATGATACCTATCATTGGATTCAAATTTAACAAATCCATTGTAGTTACCTATCCTATAAACGAGGTGCAGTCCACCCCCTACTGTACAACAGAGTGAGGCCCATCCGATTCTTTTTATTCTTAGTATTTGATACTTTGTTGTCTTAAAACTTTTAAAAGTACTTCTTAATACTACCTAAGGCACTTTAATGTTAACACTAGAATACATGAGTTTTTTACAATTTGAACATTTTACGAGTCACTGAAGTAACATAAATTCAAATGGATAAGTGGTGTTTTGTTTTATATTTAAATTGTGAATATTAATTTTATAGAGTTTTATATGAATAATTATGTGAATAAGAAAACAGGGAAAGAAGAAAAAAGCGACTTTCAGAATTAAGTTAATAGAACTAATTCAACTAGTTTCAACCAAATGTCTTCGGTATTATACTCGTATTTCTCATCGGTACACAAATTTTACTGACCTAATTCGGTTGTATTATTCTTATTTTAGGATAACCGGAGCTAAATCTTAGACATAAGTGTTGTTACTTGTATTAATTAATAAATACATAATTAATTAAGCGCATACAAATTTAGAACAAATTATTACTGTCGCATTTATTTTAATACTATATAAAACGTTTGAAACAATTTGATAGAATTTAAAGAAATTTCCAAGAATTTTTAATGTCCAAAAATAAATAAAGACTAATTTTTAGTTAGTAATACTCAGTGTAATAGTGTTTACCAAATAAATCAAAAAAAAAAGAATTTATTTCCTCATCTTAAAATGTATTACACCTTTATCTTTACTACTTTAATTTATTCAATTATTTTCATCACACTTTCCAACACAATAAATCAGTATTATTTTTATATTTTTCATCTTTTATTTCCCTTCTGTAATATAAAAACCATTACAGACCATTTTTACATTGATAAAATTATATATAGTCAGTTTTAACTCACAGTTATCAATTCTTCTCGATTTCTTTCAATTATTTTATCTTCTTTTAACTAGAATAATTTTAAATAACATGATATTAAATGTATTCAAATAAATTTCATTGAATTGTTATTGTATGTAATTAATCTGATACTAAATATATTTTTATATTTACAAATTTTTAATAACAATAAAAGTAATGTAAAATTCAAGAATAAAATATTTCAATACTGTATTACTTTTATTTTACCATCATTATAATTTTTATTTAATCATCATTAACTCATTATTTGACATTAATAAGTATTATATTTATTTCCTGTTGACTTATAAATGTTCCACACATTTATTTATAGTATTAAGAAGTATATAAAAAAATATATTTCACTCTCACTCTCTCTCTCTCTCTCTCTCTCGCTCTTTCTTTCTCTCTTCTTGTATTTAACCATATGGTTATGTTAGTTAGTTTTGCAGTCAAATATGTGATCCGTACTGCTTTACGAGGAATTTTAATATGGTGGACTCTTTCTACTTCGAAATTACAGTTGATGAGCCAACACCTAACATAACTTAAAGTTGTCATTATCAATTTTTTCCAATTTTCTTAAAGTTTCCATAGTTCTGCTGTATAAATCGCCAATAGTCGGTAGTAAAAGTTACTGATTCCCTTCACTATCTTCTTTTAATCACCTTTTTATAATAAAGAGAATAATGTCTTTTTTTACCCTAACCAACATGTTTTTTTTTTCTTATTTATTTTTCCTAGTTATCTTTCTTGATCTTATTCTGGTGTCCACCAATAGAGTCTTTTAGAATTATTCTTGCGAGTAGATATCGATATTGATATCTCAGCTCCTTTTATAAATTAAGTAGTTATTTATTTGACTCTTTGATCGATATCCCAAATTGGGTCTTAAAAAGTATACATGATGCATAATCATAAATATATATTTATGAAAATAATATAGTTAATAATTTATTAATAAAAACATTTTTTTTTTTAAACTTAAAATTATATTTATATATATTATGTGGTTATGATATAGCTTCTTAAAGGAAAACAATATCTACCATTAATGTCATACTTATACGAGATCGATTACGTAACTGTATTATGTGGTTTTTTTAAGCCTGCTGAACCCAAATAATTGTCCCATGCCAATTAAACAAAAGAATAATACAAATACACGTGACAAAATTACTTTATGTAATCATTTTGTACAATTAATTTAAACAACTGTGTATGGCTTCTCTATAAAGACTTTATATTACTTTGTGTATTTGATACAAATCAATTGAACCGTTTTATAATTATCCAATATTAATTAAAATGTAATGTATGAATAATTAATGAAAATATTTTTTTTTAATTGTTTAAAACTCATTTAAATTAATTTAAGTGTATTGAGTATATTCATATACAGAATTAAACTTGTATAACTATAGTATAATTCTGGTTATGTTATACCGTTATAAGTATAGTATAATTGTACCCATAAAACATTTTTATAGATTTGAAATATATTTTTCTAGTGCATCGATCTTTTTCAATACCTAATTTCTATTTATGATAAAGTAATAAGATAAAACAAAAATTAGTAAATTATTAATACTTGTAAATTAATATATAAATAATTTAATTAAATATAGAAATAAATAAATAAATACAAAGCCTGGTATATTATCACATTTGTAATGTACGAATTTTTATGATTTTATTTAACATAAAAATTTTCCAGGCTAAATATTTATTTATTTATTTATGTATATGAACTATTTAATTATATATTATCTTCTATTTGTTTATTTTACTAATTGCATTTCTATATAATTTATTTTCGACAAACATACAAATCATTGAACATAAATATACTCATAAAAAAAATGAACTAATAAATTAATTCTTTACAACCAAATATTATCTTTTTCTAAGGTATACTTACCTACAATTTAAATGTATTACGTTACTCTTAAGCATATACAGCCATACTCTGTTATATGATTAATTTTAGATGAATATGATGTATTATTAACTTTAGGAAGTGTTATTGCGGTGTTACTTATATTTTTCAAATTAACTCATATTCCTTTCTCTTGTTCTCTCTTTCTCTTTATAGTATCATATATACTTATTGTGTTTATAATATAGATTGTATATTTTTCTTGAAAACTAAAACAAAATTATTCTTGAAAAAAGCAACATATATGTACAGTCGTTGCCAGATATATTAAAACGGCGGCGACGCAATAACGGAAAACCAGTGGTTCTCCGTATTTCAATATTACTACCGAAAATACGTCAATAAACCAACAATTATTACAAAAATTATTTTACGATATTAATTCCAAATTATTTCCCTAGCTTGACTGTGAGCTTTACGATTTTTGATTTCCGAACTCATTATAAAAAAACTATTTTATAGCGTACGTTTTCAGTATAAAAGAACACGAACACAAAATGCCACGAATGAGTAAATATCCATCTATATTAGTATATTCCATAATGTCCATATCTATTAATAATTAATATTGTCATTGGTTATCAAATTGTTGATGCGACTTAAGTGCGCCGCGTGGTCGAAACACACCGGATTCGAACTAGTGACTGCGCGCGTCGTAGCCGACTGTGTGACCTTTGCATCACACTACCAGCGACTAGTTTGGGCTACACTTCATGAAAAGCGCCGCTGCCCCCGTCTCAATTTATCTGGCAACGACTGTACTGTACTATGCACATTGATTTGGAATGATAGAATATATATATCTCTTTACATACTTCAGGGTAAAAATGAATTTCCAAAAATTTCATGTTATTGCTCATATCGATTATATTTTAAATACACAATAATAATATCACAATTATAAATATATGAATGGATTTCTCAATATTTTCAAAAACATTAAAAAAAATTATTAAACATTTAAAAACAATGTATAAATATTTAGATAAATGTTAAATATTATCATGTATTAAATTATTTTTATATAGGTACTTATTACATACAAGTGATTGATACTTTTGAACTTTGTGTTTCGGTATTTATACATTTTTAATAGACTTTTTAAAATGTAAATTTAACTTTAAAATTAGTATAAAATAAATATATATTATAATCGTATATTATTTTAAACTTGATTATTTTTAATTACTTTATGAATAATGAATATTTATAGTATTTATTCGTATATCTTTACGAATACATTATTAATACATTTTTCTTCTCTAAATATTGTTGACAAACTATAAATATTATATTAAACTGAGCGCCAAATACTTCTTATTGATTGCAATGATTAAGTTTTATCTATATTTTTATTATTTTATTACAAAAATACATTTCTTACTGAAAATTCTAAATTAGATGTAAAAAAATAATTTATTGACAAAATTATATTTTGCTTATGCTAATACAACTTTTAACAATTTTAGAATGCGTTAAGAATCCAGAAGAGTGTAAAAATAAAATGTGGAAGAAATGCAACTTAAGTGATTCATCAGATCATTCACCCCATCCTTCGTGGGATAATGTGTGTGTTGAACAACTTATATGGACATTTAATATACATTCATACGGATTTGCTTGCCTTTTTTTCATTTTGTCGTTTTATGCTGTTTTTTCAATACTAAACATCAGGTAAATTTTTAGTATATTATACTCTATACCTACATAACAATTACATTTTTCACAATATATACAGAATAATAATAATACACACTTATAATCATTATAAAATAACATATTGATAGCAAAAAAATAAAATAGAATTAAAGTATGTTAGTCCATAATATTTATAGCAATTGTTATGATGATATATTTTATAAACTCTAAGAATATAAATTACTACGCAATTAATAATAAAATAATAGGTAGCTTAAATGAGTAAATCATAATGTTTTGTAATATAAAGGATAAAAGTAATAAAATAAGATAATTTCTCTTCTTTTTAAGCTCGAATAAGCCCAATTAAGTCAAATCATAGATAATTTACTTTATAAAAACCAATGAACGTCAATTTGAAACGTAACAATCAATATATTTGTTTCTATAATAATTATTCTATAATAATATATAGATTTCAATGACCAGAAGGTACAACATAATTTATTTTTAGTAGATACGCATCTGCTCATAGTTGTCAGTTTATATATGCATTTCTTAAACTACATGTTTGCTTATATTTGTATTAATTTTAATTTTAGATCACAAACATCTAATAAAAAACCATACATGGCAGCAATCAATGCGTTATTGCTAGCTACAGGTATTTGTAGAGCATTTGTATTATTTGTCGACCCATATAATACAAAACGAGTAAGTCGTTGTCGCTTTAATGTGTGAAAGTATACTGAACCCATTATTTTTCAGAATATTTCATCCGTTGTCACACATTTGACATGGGACCTGGGCTTATGCAGCTTAGTGACCGCTCTATCTTTATTACTATTAGCTTATTTACAGTTAACTCAAGTCAGTATAATTCAAAGTGTAATAATATAAGAACAAAAACAAAATGTTATAATAATATTTTTAATATAGCTTCAAGCTGGACCTTCAAATATGAGACGTAAATCAGTTGTAGTGACAGTCACTGTATTAATTGTTGGAGTTCTGGTGCCAGCAGATATAGTTGCATCAGTTGATTATAAATTATGGGTAAATAATAGGATTGTTAAAACATGTTTTAAAAAATTATAAAATTAAAATTACTATAAAAACAGGTTTTAGGGAATGCTGTGCGCATTCTTTTACACATTTGGGGTATTTGGCTGTGTTGTTTCTTTCTTTACTTAGGAGTAAAAGTAATGACACTTGTAAAGCGCATGCCGAAATCAGTTTTACAAAATTTTGATTCACGTCACAAAGGTAAGTGTAACATTAAAAATAAATATAAAAAAGTTTGTTACTAAGACTGAGTGTAAGTCACTTGTCTCGCTCCGTTTTTCTCAATGCAAGTGATAATCTTGTATTATTAATTAATATACTATATATTATAAATTAGCTATGAGTTAGTAGGTAATACATATTATAAAATGTGAATACAATTTTGAAAAGTTAATATATTGCAAAACATCAATGATTAATAAAAAACTCTTATGAGTTATTTTATTAATACATTATATTCTTTCGTCGAGTACGTAAATGGATACTTATTTTGGGGGGAGACAATCAGTGGCATAGCCAGGGAAGGTTAAGAAATTAATCCCCCCTTTCATTTTCCTAAAAAAAGGATAATTTTTGATTATTTTGAGCTTTGAAAAACTCCAAAACTCAAAAGCAAGTATGTCATATAAATCTTCATCACTTAAATAATTTTGTAAATTTAAACAATTCTTTATAAGGTCTTCATTATTTATTTTTCGAAATTCGCCAATATTGTATAAAAAACTGAAATTGTTATTAGAAATTTGAAGTTGGTTAAATCGTTTACTAAATTACAATATAATTCCATCGAAAATTACATTAAAATAAAATTTTCGGGATTTTTTTCTGGATCATCATTTATTTCTTCAGAATTTTTATAATCAAATCGTCTATTTGTCTTTCTAAGATGCTTCATTTTAAATTTTTTATCAATATTCATGATCTCTCTTAATTTGCTTTAATTTTTGAAGATTTAAAACCATTCGTTCAAAATTATTTTAAAAAGTCTAAAAGACCATTTAAAAGATTACTAAATTCGTCCAAATAAATATTAATATCTAAAATACGAATAATTTTGGAAAGTTGCTCTTCTCTATTAACATCTGGTGTGTAATCCATCATTATAGTAAAATTTTGACTTCTTTAATATCTTTTGACGAATTTTTTGCGCTCAATCAGTTCATCTTGTATTTGGTGACTTAAATAATGGTCACAAGTTTCATTTTTTTTTATCCGGCAAACGTGTTCTTGAATAACTGGATAAAATTGTATCGTCATCTCTATAAAGTTTAAAAATTTACTATTATGTTCCATGTAAATTACATTCGAGGATCCCCGAAATGCATCACTATGTTTTGCAAAATAAAAAATTCCTGATAAAATTCGATTAAGTACATATTTTCAATACTGCTTTTCATCATTTATTTCTTTTAAATTAACATTATCAAAAATGTCGTGTTTTTCTAGATTTAATGCTATATGTGTCCAATTTTAAATGCTATTATTAGTTAAACTACCAGAGTTTTACATTTTTAATTGTAAATTAAAAAACAATAAAGTCGATTACATGGTTTTGAATACAACAATAAATTTCTTGCTATTTTTTCACCATTTTTCGATATTCTATAAAACAGTTTCTTACTGAATTTCCTATTTTGTTAATTTTTTGGCTAGTTACCATAAATTTCGATTTTTCTAGAATTATTAAAAACAATTTCAACTCGAATATTATGAGTAAATGACTGTGGCCGCTACGCTGGATCATTAAAATCAATATTTGCTTCTTTGCTTCCGTTTATTATTTTATTATTAATTGATAAACCACTATATTTTTCAACTACCACAGTATTATTTTGAGTCACACATTCTTTGAAACAACAAAGTTGCTTTATATCACTTTTTGATATTAACTTTTCTTCATAATTTTCAATTCATTCTGAACTCTCTTCGGAATACTTGGAAAAAAAACTTATTTGATTAAAGCACTTCGTTGCTTATCAAGATTTTCCTCAAGGTTTAGTTTTTTTACTTGCTATTGTTGGTCTGAATCAAATTTGCGATAGTTAAAAATCTAATTTTGCTGTCGACTTTTTTTTTTTTAAAAAAAAATTTTAAAATGAGACATGTCAAAGTACCATAAGAATACAAGAGCTACAAGAAAAGAAGTATGGGTGTAAAGATCTGAGCAATACTTTATGAAAGTTATGGTGTTTTTGTATTGCTAAAAATAAAATAAGAACACACATTTTAAAACTATTAAATTCTTTGTAAATAAAAATTGGTTTTAGAAAATGTCTTTCGACCGGCTTAACATGTCCACGTAATATCTACCATTTTGTAATTAAAAATAGTATTCTGCCCAATGTTGTGAGATTTGAGCCGATAAATGATAGAATATGCTATATTGAGCTTAAAGGTAAATGGTTTAACATACTACTAGTTAACTGCTACGCTCCCACTGAAAATAAAAGTGAAAAAATAAAAAATGCCTTTTACGAAGAACTGCATAGGATTTACGATACATCACCAACCGGAAAGCCAAAATTCATCTTAGGTGATTTCATTGCAAAAATAGGGAAGGAAGCAACTTATAGACCAACAATAGAATATAAAATATAAAATAGGAAAGGATAGTTTACATAACGATACAAATGATAATAGGAATAAATATTTTATTTATTTATTTTATGCTTATGTAGAATTTGCGTCCAACGTCATTTTAGGACATTCTGTAAATTAAATGTAGATAAGTACCTACTGTATCTCGTTAGTAATTCTTAGATAACAGTGGTAATTTAACTCTATCCATAGTAGCCTTTCCCGAAAATGTTTTCTGTACACGCCACTGTATATGTGTATAATGTAATGACATAGAAACAGAGATGGAACTAGGAATTTTTACGCCCGGGTAAAATGTTAAAATTACGACCTATCCATAGACTAATAAACAAATACTCAAATAAATTGTGTTCTTATAATCAATATACAATCGTACTTGTTGAGTTTTAACCTAATATCAGTATTTAACGAAGTTAAAAATATCAAATTAGTTGTTAATAATTACGAAAATTACACCTTCTAAAATGTTACGCCCGGGGATAAATCCCCGACTTCCCCCCCCTAGATCCGGCCCTGCGTAGAAATTAAAAATATTTATTTTATTTATTATCCATGGATAATGACTGATTCAATTTAAGAAATGCGATAAGATAAACTTTCTAAGGATCCTGGTTTCCATACCGTGCACATACTACATGCTTCAATAAATCGCATTAGCTAGGCAATCCACACATTTCAATCTTTATTCTATGAGATTTCCATGCAAAATATTTTTAAAAAAAAATTTTTAGAACGATGCCCTGGACAAATACCTCATTTTACAACCCCCCTTCCCCAATAAGCAAGCTCTGGTAATATTCCTAATTAATTTGTTGTTATATTGTAATTTCAAATCGAAAACTACTTATTGCGTTTGAAATACATTTCTAAGTAGAGTTCGATAACGTATAATACTTTCGTATATTTTTGTACTGTTTTTTATCATTTTCTAAAAAACTGTAGAGAGCTTTGAAACTCCTTATGTTCAAAATGCCTTATTTTCTGTATTCATATTCCGATTTATGCAGAGAATCGTGTAAACATTTTTTTTCTCTACTTCCCAAAAATACTATAAGCAGAGACAATAATTAAGATAAGTATATATTTAAATGTACAGTGGTAACTCGAAATTGAAGGGGGCTAAAAATGCACTTGGAAACATCAAACTAATTTATAAGGGAACAATTTTCTAGAGGAATAAAACACAATTCGATTTGTCAAGTTTTTCGAGTTATCGTGACTCGACTGTATATACTTATCGTTTTAGATTCACTCTATTTTAGTGGCGGATTAAGCAATTTGCCGCCTACAAGCAGGACATTTGCCGCTGTTTAATTTTCAACCTTTTTTTAAAAAAAAAACAAAATACATATAGAAATACATTGTTTGAGATAAATTATTTTTTATTATTTTAAATTGTATACAATAGTCTAACATTAAATTATTTTAGTTCGGCTTTTGAGGTTAGCGAATGTATTGATTAGGTCTTGAAAGTCAATTGCCGACACTAATTCCGATTCAATGCACAGGAGAGCCAAATTATTTAACCGATTTTCACCAATAGTAGATCTTAAATACGTTTTAGTTCTTTTAAGACACGAAAACAATCTTTCTGCCGAACAGTTGGTAACCGCCATACAGGAGTATATTCTTAAAGTGATGCTAACATTCGGAAATAGTTCTTCTAAATTCTGATTTCTAAAAAATGTAAACAGACTTTGATTTTGTTGTTTTTTTTTCTATTGCATTTTGCATATAAGTTTTAAAATGTATGCATTCTTGTATAAATGTGTTTTCATCAATGTCAGTTTCATAAAATTGTTGTTATTTTTTGGCTCCTTGGACAATATCATCAGTATCAATCGACTTGTCTATGTTGATCAAAAATTTGAATTTATCGTAAATATTTTCATACCCAGAATGCCTCATATCCAGTTGTTTTCTGAGTTGATCCAATACGGCAAAATAAACAGTTTTTAATTTATCTTTACCGTCAAAAACCACTTCATTTGCTCTAGAACTACATTCGTCTAGTTCATCGCATAAAAGGGATCGCGTAAGACGACGTTTTTTGTCTAATTCATATTCTTCTTTTCTAATTTTTTTTGCTTTATCAATGAATTTTTGGAACATTTCATTAGTTCTTATTTCACTCACTTAACCAATTAAAGATTTGTATAGATCAACAACATGTTCCAAGTTAACTGATTTCAGTGAGTTAAATGTTAATAACCTAATGGCCAATATTCGTAAATATATTTTTTCCTAAGTGCGACAAATTTGCCGCTCCAATCATCTGATTACTTTGCCTGTAGGGTAACCCGCCACTGCTCTATTTAGAAGTTAAAATTGATTTAGAAATTCTATATATTATTACCTATAATTAACAAAAAATGAATAATTATTTTATACAGGTATAATGCAGTTAGGAATATTAGCTCCATATAACAATTTAGCTACCTCAATGGCAGCGGCATTAGTACCGGCACTTTTAGTTCCACACCAATCAAAATCAGATTCCAAAGATAAACCAAGTATTTATGATAAAAATACTAACATTCAGAGTTAATTTAATATAATTAATATTATTATTTAGCTGTAAAGATAACGGCACCATCAGAAGTAGCTAATAGTTTCAATAGAATGAATCGAAGAGCTAGTAGTTTTGTGCAAAGGCAAAAAAGATCTGGGTCATTGTTGAGTCCAACTACACCTTCCAGAAGATCAAGCGAAGTTCAAAGTATCATTCAAAGTAATGTTATATTGTATAATATAAAACACCAACTACAAAGTATACTGTTTGATTAGAGCGACTAAGTTGTGTGGAAGGCAGTAAACAATTTTTGGCATTAAGTCCGAATAATAACACTAGTGATAGTACAGAGCCCGAAGAAAGTTCATGGCGTAAGAGCTTTGCCAAATCAATATCATGGCAATTTCCAAAAACGGGAGAATCGAGTACAACAAATGATACTTCACCAACAACTTCGTCATCATTACTAACTCCATTACAAGTTTGATACATATTATATTAATTTTCCGCCATTGAAACTATTTGTTAATGGTTATATTTTGTTTCAGCCTCAAAGAAGTTTTAGGCTCAAATCTACCGGACAAGCTGATCAAGAAACAAGACCTACCACCAGACATTCAAGCAGTTTTTCAGATTTAGTTAGTATTGATTCATACACTTTAAACCTTATTAATTGAAATAATATCGGTATAACATTTTATTTAATTATTTTAGAGTTCTGAAATGAATTTAAGTACGATATTAAATCATATAGCATTTGTGAATCGAGGTAATGGAACAGGGGATGCCAAAATGGAAAATGTTAGAAGACGTGCTTCAAAAGTCACTGTTACCAAATCAGAAATCGTGTATGTGATAAAAACTGTTCATATCTGTGCAGGACTGGCAATGTTATTATGTTTTTTTAATTTCGCTACAGATATTAATTTAATTGGTGAGTATTAATAATCATGTTTAAGATTTTTTAAAATTTGTTCAAATTTTATATTTAAATCTTTCTGGTTCAATAACAAAACCTTAATTTCAAAAATCTACTAGATATTATTGAAAGATAATACTCTTTCGCTCCTCATCTTACGCCTCATATATAAGGTTGCGAGTATTAAACAAATTACATACCTTGCAACTTAAGAAAATCTGAAAACTTTAAGAACAATTTTGTTAAAATTATATTAAATGTATAAATTCAAATACATTGACTTCGAATATTATTAATAATCAAAATAATAACGTTTTTAAACTTAACAATATAAAAGAAAAATTAAAGCTTAATTTAATATATTTTTAATAACTTTTCATAATATATTTAATGATAGGAATATTAAATTAATAAAACTTCTATTCATTAATTAGATTTCTTTCCAAAATGACTTAAATTTATTGGTATTCGTCCAATATGCTATCTACCTTAAATATTTTATCTACCGTAATTTTATGATAATTTAGTATGATATCTACCGTATGTCCGTATGCTGTATATTATATATACTTTACCATTTTGCAATTAAGATGATTAAGCTTTTACAAAACCCCAAATTGTATTATATTTAAACATTAGTAGGTTAGGTAAGTTAGTAGGTATAGCTTTATATTATACCTATTTAGTGTGTGTTTGTGACTCGTATATATTATATGTGTTTTATTTATTATTATTTATTAATAATTATTATGAGTTTGTCAACTATGAGTTATTTATATCGACATATGATTTTGAATTTAAATTAAGAGATGTGCAAAAAATGTTTAAGCATATGCGGTTTATTACCAATCGACCAAACATGGTACAAAAATTAAAAACCAAAAAATTTGTGGTGGTGAATTGAATAAAGTTCTGAAAAATATCATTCCTCGGAGCGATCAGAAATATTTATACATAACTACACAGTAGTTAAAATATTTACGGTAGATAGCATACTAAATCATCAAACGTGCGGTAGATAGCATATTGGACGAGTTCCAATTTCTTACTTAACCATAAATATACAATATTCTAAAATATAATTTGTCTAACAATAATATCTAATTATTTTTAAAGGAGTCTACTCATACGACAGACCCTGGTGCTGGCTTATAATGCAAAGTTTGATACGAGTTTTGGAATTGTCATTGGCATGCATGTTGGCAAATCTAACAAAACAACCAGTGAATGTTATACACCACACTCAATATACGCATCCTCTGAGAGCCAAACTTCGAGGATCGTTTTTCATTTAGGACCTATAGATTAATTATTAAAAGGGTTCATGACTAAAAAATGATACAATCACTGTTAATTTTAAGTCTGATGGGAGTGCTACGCAAATGAGATCGGGACCATTATTTCAAACGTGCAATAACAGATTTTTGCAATAACGGATTTTACATTAATATAAATAAATATATATATATAATATATACAGTGAATTTTTTTAATATAACATACTTATACACACATTATATGTAATTACGTTTCCAAGTTTTTAACGTTATATAAATCACACTATATAAGTATATATATTATATTTTATATACATATATAGATAACTACTTGAGATAATATTTTAATTGTTTTCTTATTTATTTAAATATTTTAACATTTGCGTAGTATTCTTGAAGAAATATGCAATCGATTTTTTAATTTTTACTCGCTCTCTTCCAATATTATATAGGTACATACTTAAATGAATGTATAAGTTTTTTAAATGGTTTAGATATATTTTTTAGAAATTTGATTATGACAATACATCTCTCGAATATCTAATTACTTTATTTTACAATATTAAGTTTAATGATGGCATTCGGGAAAGAAATCAGAGTTACCAAAACAATATTATGTTAATAATGTTCATATATATTATATACGTATATTATGTATATACATATGGTTGTATGTGTCAAATATAGTTTAAATTCACTGGTTATAGGTACTATATTATAATACTAAGAACCTCCCGTTTGTTGTATGAACAATTTATTCATCTCTTATTTCAGAATATTCTTTGGAGGGGAGGATTTAAATATTTTATAAAACATAAATAATTTTGTAAAAAAATTAAAAACTATTCTCATTAAATCCTATCTTCAACACTTCCAATGTAAAATAGTAAATAGATATGCTTAATGAACTAAGTATAAAGTATATAATATAGAGTACGAATATTTTAAATGTATTTTAGTATTTTAATTTTATTATCTATAAAATTATTTCTTCATAAATATTTGGATTATAAGTGATAGGTACATATCCTAAATTAGAATAATAAAAGGTACCAAATGTTTTGAAAATGTCAATTATATTTTGTAGTTGTACATAGCCCGATATTTTAGAATCATGAAAATAAAAAAAAAAGACTTAAAAATTAAATACATTTTAATGTTAGTTACATAGCACTTATACGGGAACATATTTTTTAGTTAATTAAAATTCATACGTTATTATGTATGTAGAATTAAAAAAAATATTTTCTTTGTTTATGCTTAATCTTAATTAAATACAGTAAAAATATAAATATTTCTTATATCATCATGTATATTGCATACATAGTGTTTATATATATAAATTTATAGATATTAGGTATACTTAAGAAATGTAGATATTTTCAAACTTAATACTTAAATTGCAATAATTACATCATAAATATGTTTAATTATTAAATATTATTTTTCGTAAATGTTATGTTTGGAGTAATAATTAGGTATATTATGAATATTCATAGAGTTTAGTATATTTTGTCATTTACTATTAAGCAGAAATATATACATATAACATTATATATGCCAATATGTGTAATGCACAATAATAATATAAACATATATATTTAATACAACTGAAATGTATTAAGATACTAGAAGTATTATTTTATTTTTAAATAATTACATATTTAGTTTGTTACAGTAATTATTAATTTCAATAGGTGATCTACCAAATATAAATTATTATATTTAGTACTTAATTGTTGATTATTGTAAAGTCACAAATGATTCTTTATGTAAGATTTATTGATTTACACAAATACTAAATTTGTTTACATACACCAGTACCTTCTATTATAACATATTAAATACCTACCTATTTAGGTACTTATATATATATGTAAAAACTAGATATTACCTACTTATTACACATACTTTATGCTCTTGGACCTTTTAATCATAAATACTCATTCCTAACCATTTATTAAAAATTTAATACTTTATAATCAATAATCAATATTTATCATTTAATTTTATAATTTTACTGTTTAAAATATTTTTACTCTATGAATTATTCAAAGTTTCTAAAGAAATCTTTAACACCATGGTTATAATATTATATTTTGTATAGCATAAGGGTAAAAATAATTTAATAAAATTTAAATTATTTATTTTTTATTACCATTATAAATGTAAATATAAAGTCTATACTAACAGTATCAATGTAAGTTATTAATATCCTTTAGTTAAGATGTAGTAAAAAAAGGTAAGTAATAATAAATTAATATTACAAATAGTAGTAGATATACTTACACATAATGACAGATATAGAAATATGTTAGAAACTAATATGTTCTTTTCGTTAAAAATCTAAAATAAATGAAATGTATTTAGTTCTATATCAATAAAAAAATATTAATTTACTTATGTACTTACATGTTGTTTATATTTAATACTAACACTTAATATTTTTATATGACTATTTGTTATATAAACCTACAAATGGAGCATACTATGGAATCCAGCGGGTCCAAAATCTATTTATAGTTGGGGTACTTTATGAAAAAAATTATATATCCGAACAAAAAAAAAAGTTTTTCACTGATACAATCATACAAAATTGCACTTTTTTGGGGCTGTTGTAGTATCTTCATTATTTAACTTACTTCCTATCCCATAAATAAATATTAATTTCATACTACTTTTAAGAATTCAACAATGTAAATATAAATGTTTATAATAAATAATATGGTTTTTGTTAACCTTATTTTGAGTTGAGTTAATTTTTGACATTTTAAAATCTTATTTACTTTTACATTCAACAATAAATTTAAATTAAAAAAAAATTGAGGAATCGGGTGGGCTATTGCTATTTAATAGGATTAGGGACTTAAAATATTTGCATACTTTTGTTATTTATTGTAAAATATAGCAAAAAATAAAAAAGAACTACACAAAAGTCGATTCTATGTGAATCCGGCATTAGTTCAATAAAAAAAAAAAAAAACCATAAATATTATGAATTCACCAGATTTAAATATTATCTAAAATTTTACTTGTAAATTTTGAGTCTGAATTAAAGAAAAAAATTGAGTCTCCCTCCCTAGAAGAAAGTTTAAATACGCCCCTGGTACTAGTGAACTCGGTAATTTCGCCGCTGTTCATTTCACCGCGATTTCTCCACTATGCTATTTTTTTTCGTATAAAGTCAATAAAAAAATGTTGGTTGGCCATCAAATTTTGATACAATGTTTTTCATACATTGTTTATACTCGTGTGAAAAAATTTCAAAAATCCGTAGTCACAATTTTTAAAAATAAGCGTTTGAATTTGAAATGTTGATAAAAATCACGAAATTTCCCTACTTTTGGTAATTAAAAGTTGATAAACATTCCAATATGTATACTTATGTAAGATTTAAAAATGTAATATAATGAAGTTGCTCTTTCCAGCGAACTAAAAAAGTTTACCGAAGCAGCGCAAAAAAATGTTATAATTAAGCGTTAAAAAATTATATTTTGATGAAATCTAATAATTCCGTGATAAAATCCAAAATCGATAAAAATGTTCACCCCCTCTAAAGAAAATCCATACAAATATTTAGTGAACATTTTAAATTCCTTACGATTATTACTTTTTGTATTACACTTAAAAAGAAAAATCAAAGTCCGGCAGTCAGTAAATATTGTCGTTTTTTTGCAATTTTTCGTTATTTTTCCGCAATTATTGGGAAAACTGTTAAGAAATTCAAAGAATGACTTCTCTAGTCTCCAATGAACCAACTAGACAACATTTGTTATCGAAAACCAACCTAAAGTTGTTGATGGGATAATTTTTACTAGGATATTCGACATACACAAAAACTAAAACACTTCATGCTAAAATTAATACATTTCTCTTTGTTGATATTTTAAATAAAAATGACGGTATGATAACGAATATTATAACATACCAGTGGCGTGTATAGGAGAGGGCCTAGTGGGCTATAACCCCCACCTAAATATTTTAAAAACGTCAAATCGTTTTAGAACATTTTGTAAATTAAATGTAGATAAGTACCTCCTGTGTCTTGTTAGTAATTCTTAGAGATAGCAGTGGTAAATTAATTCTGTCTATAGTAGCCCCTCCCAAAAATATTTTCTGTATACTCCAGTGTAATATACTTACGCAAAAGGTGGACTCATAGGCGTCTCAAAGGGGGCCTATGGGCAAATGGGGCAAATGCCCTAAAGCGTATAAAGTATTATGAATTTAAGGGGAGTCATAAAAATTAATGATAATATGAAAAACTAGGTGTTTTTTTTTTTAGATAGGTACCTAAGCATTCATTTTTCGTTTATATTGAAAAATCAAAGTTGAGCATCTATCAAACAGTACAATATTCTATGCTAATACATCAACAATACAATTACAATAATACTAACTAATAAGTACTCTATTATACATTTACTCAATAAAGTTATGATCTTCCTGGTCTATGAATACCTACCGGCCACAATTATCGAAAACCGGTCGGACCATGACTCGACCTTACCATGAACTTCGTCGCCACTAAGGGGAGCTGTCACTACAATTCGAAGTTCAGTCTGGATTAAAGCAGGATGAAGCAATGTCTCCTGTATTGTTTAATCTTACGCTTGAAAAAGTCATGAGAGATATGTCAGCATGCCATGAAATGGAACTAAACGAAAAAAATTTAATGCTAGCGTATGCTGACGATATTGTAATATTAGGAGACAAAGAAGGCTATGTAGTTAAGACCGCAGAGGAATTAATAGAGTCTTTCATAGAATGAATCTCATTATAAATGAAGAAAAAACTAAGTACTTAATAATAATAATAATAATAATAATGAATTTAAATACCTACCTTGGAGTCAATATAAACAAAAAATAATATACATAATGAGTTTCAACTGAAAATAAATAGTGTAAATAAAGCATATTTTGCCATGAATAAGATGCTCAGCTCTAGATTATTGTCCAAAAGTACAAAAAAGAAACTGTTTACTTCTTTTTCTGTGTCCGATAGTAATGTATGCGTGTGAAACGTAGTCAACAACACAAGGAGATGAAGAAAAACTACTCACTTTTGAAAGGAAAATACTACGGAATATTCACAGACCTGCTCGACTCCATAATAGTGAATATGAGAGAAGAAAAAATGAAAATCTAGAAATGTTATTCAGCAAACCGAATATTAAATTATTTTTGAAAGCAAAACGTCTAGAGTGGGCTGGTCATATTTGGCGAGCTGCCGTAAATATTACAAGAAACGTCTTAATCAGTGGTCTATTGGAGGGTATACGGGGGTATTCGGCGTATACCCAATACTTCATTTTTATTCATGGCGTATAGCTCATGAGAAATTGATGATACGCGGGTATATGGCCGTGTCTATCGTATTGATTGAAATTTGACAAATATAAATAATACAACTTGTGAATCAGGCGCGTACCCAAGGGGGGTTTTTAAAGGTTCAAACCCCTCCCGAAATTCAGGAAAATGATATTAAATATGTTTTTATACAGTAAAATTGGTATATATATTATATTATTATGAAAATGTACAACCTAAAACCCCTCCCAAAAATATTTTTTGTGTAAGCGCCTGTTGTGGATATATATATGACGTAATTCGGTATCGGTTATATTATTATTATTTTTCTTTTTTTAATGAAAAATTCAAATTTATTATCATTTAACATCAAGTTTTTGTTATTAAACAATCATAATTAAGGATGTGTAGTTCATGAGTGAGTTTTTTTTATTTCTACCATATGATAGTTACTACATGTAATAAGGCGTATACCCATGATTTATTTTAGCAATACATCACGGGTATTAACCAAAAATCCCCCCAAAAAAAAAAACGACCAAGAGGTAGACCTTGTCAAAGATGGTTAGACAGGGTAAAGGATATTTTAGATGTCGACAATACAAAACAACTGAATGACGCGATAGACCGGAATGGATGGAAAGACTTGATGAAAGCATGCAAAAGTCCTCAACGGCGTGTATAGCTTTAATAAATAAATAAAAAATAAGGAAATTGTACTGTTTTTGCCTAGGACCTCGCAAAAACTTGCGGCAGCACTATCCAAATATCAAATATATGAGTAGGTACAAATCATGTGATGAATCATCACTAGGGTTTGGATGTCTATGCACGTAAAACTATTGTGATACATATTTAAAATATACACGAAAAACACAAAGTATAAAATTTAGCTAAAAAAAAACTAAAATATGCAGAGTAAAATTTATTTTACCTTAAGTATTAAAAAAGAACTATAATTTATATAGGTAAATTTCATTTTTATAAGTTGTTATTTTATATTTTTTTAATCTTAGGTACCCACCTATATGCTAATTTATAGGGCTTGGATTTTAAAGCACATTAAATAACAAAAAAAGCAAAAATTTGTCTTAAAAAAGCAAAAATGAAGCAAATTTATCTTTAAAAAAAGCATAACCAAAAATTAACATGAATTAGATATAAAACTGAATAAAAATAATTAATTAAATTAAAAAAATAATTAACTACTAGGTATGTATTTTATAAGATTTTCATTAGTGAAACTATCTCTATTATCTGACAGAATGTTTTTATACAAAGAAAACGAATGCTTTACATCCACTGAAGTTATAGGTACATACTTAATGCTTTATTTAAATCTAACTTATGATAGTTAATTTCGTTTGATTAAATGCCACCAGTATATAATTAATGTCTAGTAATCGTTTCCAGCCTTTGTTTTTCACAAAAACACGATTTAATTTACCCAAAATTACAGTTGCAATATCTCTATTAGCTTAATTTAACATATTTTCTGCATCCAAGACATTATTTATACATTTTATCAATGTTCTAACTTTAAACGAAATTTACGAAAATATGCATTTTAAACATAAAACCAATAAATTAGTAAAATTACTAAAATAATAATAACAATAACTAAAAAATAACTAGTAGAACATGAATCAAAATTGTTTTCTAGTCCGAATTAAATTGAATCAATAGAAAACAATTTTGTAATTTCATAAACATCATCACGTTTGAATAACAATTCAACAATTTTACTATATTTCAAATTTAATAACATTTAATTAAATACATTAGCTGAATGATTATTAGAGCTATTGAAAATTGAAATAAAATTCCATAAACCTTTTTTTAAAAAATAAAATTTTATATAAATTTTCATAGTAAAATAAAATAGTGCTTTAGGTAATTTATATTTTTATTAGTTAATATAAATCAAAATATCACATAATTCAATTAAAAATTTAAAAAATTGAACAATATTTTGAAATATTTATTGTCATTTGAAAAAATTAACACTATATAATATTGCTTCTGCCAGTGATTGGCAACCTTTTTAGACCACATTCACAAATAATTAGTATGACATTCAATTAAATTTCCTCGTTTTGGAAATTAATGCTAGCCATATAAGAGACATGTAGGCCGGATGCAGCCCACTTACCATAGGTTGGCAACCACTGGCTTACGCCATAAGCAAAATATAAATATAACATATTCAATAATACAGTTTAAACAATAGTTAATTTACAATTTAGTATAATAGAACAGATAGATATTAAAAACTACTAATAATTTATTTTTCTTTGAAAAATAAATCTATGGTATTTTGATATATTTGATTACCCAAAGACACAGGATCTTCTTTTTTCAATGAAGCTAATACTTCTAAAACTTGTCTGAAAACATACATTTTGTAAATATAAATTTTGAATTCTTATTAATGAATGTTATTAGAAGGAGTTTAAAAATAATATATATATATAGTAATTATTAACTTACATAATGGTAGATGGTTCATTTCTCCCCTTCACCATAAACCCATCAACAAATTTTTCTTTTTTTACAAAATTAAACTTGGTTTTTACATATGAATAAGATGGATGGGATTGTTTAATTTCACACCATGGACAATCTGTTTCTAACATGATACGATTAATAGGCAATTCTGAAATTGTTTTTAAATTGTCTTCTGTTCGTAATGAACTATAAAATATAAAATATTAACAATCAGTAAAATAATTTTTAAGAAACCAATTTCATATAATGGGAAACTTTAGTTTCATGAACCCATTAAATTCAAAAACAAATAGATATGCGCACCGAGTTTCACTAAACAAAAGTTGGAAGCTTAAGCATTTTATTTTTATATTTTATAAAAATATTAATATTTTAATTAAATTACATTTTAGATAGTTTATTTAACTTACAAAATAATAGTAGTATGAAAAATATTTATTTTTAGCAATGTTTTTAGTGCAATAACTATATAAATATAAAATTAAATAATGATAATAAATAGCACCATTATAATTTTACTTTATTTAACAAAAAAAGAAGAAAAATAAAATCTTAGCCATTCTCTAGTTAGTATCAACAATTGTTATATAAGGTTAAACTAACTGTACTATAAACAGTGAAAAATATCTAGAGATGTTTCATAGAAACTTCAGAATTTATCCTTATCAGTAGGTAATTCTTTTACAACTGCATAGCTACTATACTGCCTATAATTTAAAAATAGATGAATTCAATCCTTTTTATCCAATACAATTGTTATAAATGAGTAACTGAAATACCAAGGTTAGGAAAACTAAAATAATATTAACAGGGCTAATTATACAAAAATGTAGTAAAATATTAAAGTGTAATTAAGTTTAATGTAATCTAAACTTATCACTGTAAAAAATGTTAACAAAAGTATTATAAAAATAAATAATAGCAAAGCATTTAAGTTTGCATTAAAACATTAAACACAGAACTTATTTAAATAAATAAATAGCCAAACAATTAATACAAAATTATAACATTAATTCAAAAATCAAGAATATTTACTTTTAATAAAAGATTAAAAATTTTAAAACATTTATTTATATAAATTAATATAATAAATAACAATAAAGTTAAAAATGTAAAATAAATAAATATATATATATATATATTAGAATTCAGAAATGTTAAACTATCTTTATATCTATAAATCAGAAAATAATTTAATAATTTTTAAAGTAAACTTAATTTAGTTATTTTTAATTTTAACTAAGAATAAAACCATATTTTATTAAACTTGTAAAATTAATTTATGGTAAATTTAACAAGTTATAGTATAAATTATAAACAAATTTACTTTTGAGAAATTCAATATTTTAAGAGTACAAAAAAAAACAAATAAAATGCTTAAAAATGTATGATACATAATGTTCTTCTTACCATCCATTGATACCAATATAAAACCCTAATTTAATAATTTCTTCAGCTTCTTTTAAACTTCCATCAAAAGAATGTACAACACCACCTGATTTAATAAAATCTGCATTTTTTTTAAGTATACCTATAAATGAAGGAGCTGCATCACGGCAATGTAAAAATAGTGGCAGGTTAAAATGTTCACTCAATTTCAATTGCATTTCAAAATATCTAATCAATGTTTTACAAATTATTTTCCAATAAATGGTATTCATAATTTATAATACATACTTTTCTTGAACCTCTTTAGAACAAAAATGTAATCTTTGGTTATCAAGTCCACATTCTCCTATTGCAACTACTTTTGATTGGTTATTTTTTATGACATCAGTTAAACTGTTTAAATAAGCTTCAGGACTTTTGGCTTTATTAAACTCATCACAACGAGTAGGGTGACAACCAACCGTACAGAAAAGTTTATCTACAATCAATGTATTTTAAATATGAAAATATTACATTTACCTATATTAAAATAATGAACAATTTTAAAATATTGCAATTAATTACCACTTAATGAAGTTATCTTTAATCCTTCAATAGAATCATCTAAACTGCCACAAGTTATAATTATTTTTTTAAGATTATTCTCCCAAGAACGCTCTAAAACATTTTCTAAGTCTTCTTTATGTTTTTTATTGCCATTGTATATTCCTTTGTACATAGGGTCTGTTAAATTTGCTCCAATATCTAAGATTTAAGTACTTAAAGTTAATATTTAGTAATTAATTATAATTTTTATTAATAATAAAGGAAATAGAGAACACTACAAAATAATTTATGTACCAATAAATGGTATAGAAGACATTTTTGAAATCCACTGCAGAACGTTTAACTTAATATTCATTCACAAATTGGTATAGTAATGATAGGTTTTTTAGTTTAGTTTAAGTATAAAAAATAATATATTAATTTATATTTTTAAAAATACTTTGACATTTAGATAACTATCTCATGCCTCGTGAGTTATCTATAATCGTGGTCACGGTTTAATACAGCAGTTCCCAAAGTGTGCGCCGTGATGTCTGTACATGGACGCCGCGCCATCATGAAATACTATCTGGTCTAAAATTTTCCTTATGATTAGTCATGCTATGACTTGGGGAAGGACGCCATGAAAAAACTTTAGATCAAAAAGGATGCCGTAAGTCGAAAAAGTTTGGGAAGCAACTAATATACAGGTTAGGACACTCGACATGATCGCATTACAGATCACTAACTGATTATCGAATTAATCAAATATACTTTTAGCTTTATCTATCATTACTATTATAATAAATCATAAATCGTGATTAAATTTAGTAAATAAGAATAAAAGTATGAAATAATTTTAATCAACTTTTAAATTTTAAAAGCAATCATGCATTCATGTAAATTGTAGCTATGTGCTGTGTGCAAATAGTATTTTCAAATTCGTATTACAATTAATTAGCTATAATAATAGTATAAAAGTTTACTAAGGGATGGATAGGGCCGCCGGGACACCGGGATTTTCCCAGTGAGCCGCTGCTTATATTGGCGAAAATGAGCCTATGAAAAATATTACTACTAATACTATTATACATGTACATATATACAAATTAAATTAAATAAATATAATACTTCCACACCTAAACAAAATAAACTACTGGGCCAAAAAATGAAAAATCAAAATAAATGAAGACAAATCAGTCCAAGTAAACTTCTGTACAATTACGTAACGAATGCACACAACTTCAAATTAACAATAAACCAATTCCAATCCAACCCTCAAACAAATACTTAGTAATCATTCTAGATAAGTGCCTCACATGGGCACAACATACCAAGTTCAAGCGCAAGCAGGCAAATACACGTCTCCATCTACTTAGACCACTCCTCAAATCCAAAATGTTACTCAAATTCAAAACTCTTATATATAAAGCTATAATTAGACCAGTCTGATCATATGGCATACAAATTTGGGGTCCCGCAAAACCTTCTAATATACGACCCATCCAAGCTTTTCATTCTATTAGTCTTAGACTCATAACTGGAGCCCCGTGGTTCATCACTTATGAATCTCTTCACAAAGATCTAAAAATACCCACCGTCAAAGAACTTGCAAAAATACATTACAGACGTTTCCACAGCAAATTAACAAGTCACTCAAATTTTCTCATCCGAAATATGCTATCCATATCTCTCCTTGGTAATGTTAAACGTCGGCTAAAAAGGTATTGGTCAAGAGATTTACTTTATTAATTATATAAAAATTAATATGGAATAAAAAAAAAACTAAAAGTAAATATTCTAAGGTGTTGTTAATGAAAAATTTCCTCCTCACATTAATCATGTTATTGTTATATATTATTTGATCAAATTTACTTATTGTTTTAAATAACAGATTGTATATATTTCTTCGAAATAAAAAAAAATATATATAATATTGATAATATATATTTAAATTTAACTTAAATCTATAAATATCATAATAAATTCCTTTAAAATGAAAAAGAAAAAAAAGTATTTACAGTAGTATAACATAATTTTAAATGTAATTTTTTTATGTATTATTTTAATTAAATAATCAAAAATTAAAAATTAAATTTTATTCAAAATTTCGAGTACAAAATTTTTTTCTTTAATGCATTTTTTAACATATTAGAGCATATACTTATGCATGTTAAAGATCTTTTAGCGCATGTTTGATTGGTTTTCAATGCATATAATTCCGTGCTATAATGATAACTGATTGTTCAAATTTAAATTGTTATACATAATCACTAATAAAACTCCACGGCAAAGTTGATTACTGATATATCATGGTTTTCCACAATAATTATACACGAACCATGTAAATAGTATAATATTGCTAAAATGTTGTATAACCAGGTATGTTTCAAAACGAATTAAAAAGAAAAGAAGGTGCATAAAATAAAAGAGATAAAAATCGTAGAGTTGTTAAAAGAGAGCAAAACATGTGTAAAATTGGATAGTATAATGTATATTATAATTTTAAATATTATTTAAGAGCATCGAAAAAAAGGTGGTGATTGCCAAGTTGGTTCTCTCAAAGTTGAGGTAATTGTTTAGTTGAAACTTGGATATAATCATGCGGGCCGCTGTATTCTATTTTTCCAGGCCGGTCAGATTATGCCTATCCGCTCCTGAGTTTACTATACAATTTCATTGAATAATTACTCATTAATCAAGATATTTGATATTATGAAAGGTATTTGCAAGTTGAATATAAGAATCATATTTTAAAAATATTTATAGAATATTACTCCGTACCCTAGTTATTACTTTTTTTCAGTTCTCAGATGATATAAAAGCATTTCATTGACAAATTGCTGGCTAGAAGTACAGTCATTTTCATTTTTATGCAAGGATAAATTTAATTCCTTTTTATCAGGGATGGAAAACATTTTTGAAAACGTTTTTTAAAAAACGTTATTAAACGAAAAAAAAATGAAAAACGAAAACGAAAAAAATATATTAACGAAATCAATTAATAAAACGAAAACAAAAAAATTATTATAATGAAATCACAAACGAAAACGAAAATAAATTATAGTATTATACTATTATTATTTTTTACAAAAAAAAAATATACCTGTTAATAAAAAGTTAATAATTCTGATAACTAATAGGTAATTGTTGACAAATAAAACATATTAATAGCATAGCGCAATAATTAATTATAGTTCACATGGTACATACACATTACAGTGATGACGATAAAATTCTATTATCTTTCACGACGACGATCATGGATCAAAGTGTAATCTTTAACATGGTTGCCGCTTCAATTATTATAATATGATTATATTATCTATTGATTTTAGCAGTTGATTAGGAATTCATTTTGTTTATTTATACTTACTCATTATCCTATTGGCTATTATAGTTAATTGTAACAATAACATGACTTAATAGAAATCTGAAATCAGGACGGATCCAGTAGGGGGGCCGAGGGGCCGTGGCCCCCTCCAGACATTCTGAGTAATATTAGTAATAATTAGTAGTATTTACGTGTGTTGAAAACGCAGAATGCGCAAATGCTCTACTTGAGATCATTGCAATTTCCAATAATAATTAATAATTTATAAATAATAAGTATACACCACACCCATCGTAAAATTTACAATTTTGAAAATCAACTACCAAATGCAACAACGGCGTTCTGTGGCTAGCGAGAATGGGGAAACCGTTTGGCTTATTACAAGATTTGTTTTTATTTGCTATCATTATGTTATATCTATATATGTAATAGATAAGAAATAAGTATGTTTAAGAATTAGACAAGGCAGTAGCAATAACAATAATTATAGTATTATATTTTGTATTATTATAATGTTTTTGGTTACTGGTTATGTTTTTTTCATTTGTTTTAATTTTCCGTAATTCCGTTGTTACATTTTAATTTACATTGTAATACATATGCAATTTGATGGTCACTTATCGTTTTATTATTATTAATATTATATTACCTATTTCATTATGGATCAAAAATTTAAAAAATTTAAAACTCTACACTCATACTTTGGAAAGGTAAATTTGATTTAATGATTGATTGATTGATTGATATTGATTAAATATACATATATTACGTATATTTAATCAATGGTACTAGTATTGTATTTTAAAAAATTCGTTTTTACAAATTACGTACTAATTATAAGCATCAAAAAAATCACACATTTCTGGATGGAGGGGGGTAGGGTAATGGACATATTTTATCCAGACATTGGTTATTTTCTGAATAATTTAATAATATTTAGTATAATAAACTCAAAGTGGAGGGGGGGGGGTATTAACCACTTAACTTCACTTTGGATCCACCACTGATATAGTATACGAATGTATTATGTTGAATATGTTGATAATTTATTGTAATTTGTAGTTGGCCCCTCCCAGACCTTTGCTCTGGATCCGTGCCTGTCTGAAATAGTGTTTTACTTTACGTCTTTACTTACTCTTTAGTCATTTTACCAATGCACATTTAAAAATCTTTTAATTTTAAATTTTAAATTTTATTATTGATTTGTATTGGTTCTATTATTATTATAATTTGAATATCTCTTAAGCTTATTGTACCAGGAGAACAGATTATTAATAGTTCTTAATTCAAAATAAAAAAAAAAAAAATTATTATTTTCATATAAAATATAAATTATAATTTTGATTTGAAATTTAAATTTTAAATATTAAGAATAATATTAATTATAACTTAAGTGCATTCCTAAATTCAATATATTAAATATTCATTGTTACTATTATAAGTTAGGTATAAGAAATAAGTGTATATAAAAAAAAAACAAAATTATTAAAAACGTTATTGATAAACACTATTTAAAAATAACGTTTTTAATAACGTTAATCAAAAACGTTTAAAAACATTAAACAAAAACGATATTTTTTAAATCAATAAATAAAAACGAAAACGAAAAAAATCAAAAACGTTTTCCACCCCTTGTGTTCTTTATGTACTAACATTATTATTATTAACCTCTTAATATAACATTATTGACCACTCATAGTAATCACAAGTTGATATCACATACAGTAACTTCATTCAACCAGGCGTTAAGCATTCATAATACATCTCTGAGAAGTCAATAGGCACTTATTCGTAATTTCTCAACCATCAGTGTGACAACTCTGCGACTACTATGATATAGGATTTTGCACACCAGATTAATGTTCACTTAGTTCAAAATCGAAAACTTACTAGTTACTTTGGTAGTGACTAGTGACTAGTGATCAATGACAAGTGCTACCTGACCCTGTGAAAGATTTATTCAATTTTAATTACAACAAATATTAAAACCAAAATTTATATAATAATTTTATACATTATATGCTCAAACACTCGGTCTTTGTTGCTCGGGAAACGATACTATGATTTTCAATTGAAATATTTATTGCATAGGTACAACTATTACTGCACTTATATTACCTACTATAAAAGGTGATTATAGAAAAAGTTTATAATCAATTATTTTTTGTTTCACTAAAAATCTAAAATATTGTAAATAATGAAGTAAAATCTCCCTCTCTTATGATTATAAGAAGTCATTGTGAATATTTTTAATAATCATTATCAATCTGATTTTGATCCTCTTACAAGCGTATGCTGACGTCAAACACTTTCTCTATAGATCACTTACATTATATATTTGAACTAGATAGTATAATTTATGTATTCTCAGCTTC